TGTACTATTATGGTGGTCGTGGATAGATTTTCCTAAATATGCCACCTTCATATGCCTGCGTCACCAGGTTGCACTGCAAGGAAGCGCACAAGCTATTCTTTTAAGAACGTGTGAAGTAATTGGGGCTTACCAAGGGCATATTATCAGTGATCGGACCCCTTTTTACTGGAAACTTTTTGGAGGAGAGTATTATTCGACGATACTTTGGCACGGAACTGCACTTTTCCACTAGTTTCCACCACCAGGACAGATGGACAAACAGAACGGACGTGTCAATGCTCTTACTAGAATGCTACTTGCAGGCATTATGTAAGCGGCGTAATCAGAAAGATTGGAAGGCTCCTAGACATCGCCCAATTTCTCTTATTAACTTGCAACGGAGTGAGTCCATGGGGCGGACCCTATTTGAGCTACACAGGCATCAACAACCAAATCCACATTCATACCAGCTAGCGTAGTCGAGGGAAGAGTTTGGGGGTTTTCCATATGTCCAAGGGATGGAGGAGCAGCTTGACACTGGTAAGTCCTACTTGGATAGGCCATCTAAGAAGGATGAAGAGTCTTGCGGACCTTAAACGGCCCCACGAATATAGAGTTTGGGACATGGTCATGGTGAAGTTTAACACCAAACAGATTTCAATGGCACTACGGCGGCATGCAGTCAGAATTTTGATTCGCAAGTATGAGGGTGCCATTTTAAGATCGTCGCCAAGGTAGGCAAGATTCTATCAAAAGCTTGACATGTCCATACGTATTCTTTACAGATCTACCATGTCTTCGTGTGCACAGCATGCTTAAAGCCATATCATGAAGATTAAGGAGATCCGAGTAGGGGCCAATCCAAGTCGAAGCGCCAATTAACTACACCCCTCACCATGATTGGGAGTTGAGGCTATTATGGGGTATTACCAGGGCCAGTTGAAAACAAGGTCAAAAGACCACCGCTATAGTTCCTCGTCCATTGGAAAGGCAATCACCGAGGAGGGCCACGTCGGGAACGATATGAAGGACTCATGTGGCAATTCAACAATAAAGATCGCGAGAGTTTACTGTCCAGCGCAGGCATTTGCGCCGCGGTCGTTGCAATATTAGAGTGGGAGAGAGACGGTGATGACCCGCCCACACATCATCATCCACATAGCCGCCATTATGGTATTTTAATGCCATGTGGAAGCTTACATAAAGAAGAAGGCTAGCCATTTAAGAGAAGAATTATCTAGAGAACAGTCTGGGAATTCTTAGGAAGAACCCTAATCCTTATGGATTTGCTAAGGAAAGTCCTTGGAATGCTCTTTAGGCTTGTAGAGAATTCTAGAGAAGGCCCGATTATCTTGGTAAATATATTAAAGGACTTGTTGTAACAATTAGATTTAACACACTCTAGCCCTAGGCAGACTAGTATATAAAGGAGGCATTCATTTGTAATATCACCAAGACAAACCAATTCAAGTTCTCTCTAACTACAAAGCTTCCTCTTACAACAATTTCTTGTGTTTTTTCTACCATTTCTCTTAGAGATCTTGAGTTAGTCAAGGCTGATTTCATTAGCAAGAACGTGGGCAGTTGTGCGAGATCGGTGAGCGAGTTGTCAAGTGCCACTACGGTACTTAGTTAAAGAACTAAGGACGTGACCAGGAGGAGTACTCATTTCATCAACCTTAACTGAAACTAATGCTTGACAAACCCAAAGATGTAGGAGATTTCTTTTCTTTCTGATTTTTTTAAAAAACATTTGTTCTAAAAAAATTGTTTTTTCGACAAACTAAACTTTATTTGAAGAAATATATAAGAATTCTTATGAGTTAATTTTGGACAAGTTCACTTCAAGTTGATTAAAAAATTACTCTAGTAAAAATCACTTCTTATTTTTTGGTTTCAAAATTCAATAAAGTCGCTTTCAAGGGATGGTTTGTTGTTTCTTATAAAAGTAATAATAGCTGCCGGAACATTATGTGTCATTCAGGTGCCAATATATGGCCTTGGGCGAGTTCATTTAAAGAATTTAAAATAATTTCCTGCAATATCAGGCAAATTTTTAACTGAAAGGCCCTTTTCTGTATAACTGCAAATTAAATTTTTTTTGGGGTATCTTCAGATTGCTTGTAAATATTTTGGTGTTTCAGGAGAAGTGCAATACACCTTCTCACATAGAGGGGTAAAACTTTATAGAACATTAACCGCAAATCTCTCTTTCCAATCTATTACTCAAATAGAGAGGATATAAGTTTAGACCTAGGTTTGGTCATAGATTCTCAAATTTGTTTTTGAACAATTTTGATTATCAGAATGAAGCTTGCTCTTGATTTTTGAAGATAAAAAAGTGTATTGGACATAAGTTTCAAAAACATATTCTCACCTTTAAAAAAAAATTCTTTTTTTTAAAACCCATGAAAACCCATCGACTATCATGCCCAGATCTCTAAGACTATCCACAATAGGCCGAACAGGTTACATTTATACAATAACATTCATTATATACCGCATACCATACTAGCCTCCCTCGAACATAAATAAATTTGGTAACAAAAATTAATCATTATCTATAATGACATTACATAACACAACTATCAGGATGACCCGAGAAGCGCGAGTATTCATGCATTGTTACAAAATAAATTAAATGGTGAGAACTATTTATAAATTAACAAAAGTTATGAGCAATTTTAAAAAATGTAAATATCATAATTTTGGGCCAAAACCAGCTCTCTTGCAGCTGGTTTTTGTGATTTGGAATTTGCCAAAATGTCAATAAAATCTCTATGGCCAACATGTTTTGCTAAATTAATCCCCAAATAATATCCTTCAGCAAAATCTATTGGCCAAACGGATCCTTGCTCATCAAGATCACTAACTTTTTTTATATTTGAAAATTATTCAAAGGGTGATGCATATTGACCTGGGTTCTCTCATATGTCTGGCTGCATTTTCTATCTAATAACCAAAGAAGCAAATATCTTAGTTCGATTCGAGTTCACTAGCGTTCCTGATATATTAACCAAGCAACGTCGATTGTTTTTCCAGTAAGTGGACGAGCAATACCACAACTGCGCTAATTCAAGATAATTGCCAATGTGCCCCCAATCCGTGCACTCGATGGAGAGCTTGTCGTCGCCGGGCTATGATTTAAGAAGAGAAATACGTTAGCGCAAAAATAAAAACAAAAAACTTGTTTGATTACAGAGTGAAATCATCGTAATCAATCCTATATGTTTTGCAGAGACACATATAAGTCACAAAGTATCAGTTACAAAATTACACACTATCTTCCAAAAACATATTCTTGGCGACATTGCACAACATGGGAATTCGACAACACAGTAATAGAATGTGGATCTCTGCTCCCGTTTCAGCCAAGTCCAAATCCTGATCACGACCAAAACAACATGCTTTCTAACTTTGTTAATCAGCATGATGCTAAGTCCTAATAGTTCCTTTAGTTCAATTCACTAGGACCAACAACCACCTGCTTTGTTTTCTGTAATCTGGCACAATGTTAACTTCACCTGATGGTTGTGTGTCGGCAGAGAGAATTAAGCTATTCTCTGAATATTTCGAAGGGACAGATCATACTACAAGGGGAGAAAAAGACGACCACTTCAAATTGCAACTAAATTGTTGCCTTTAGCGTGGTACCCTCTTGTCTTCTATTCCAGTCCTTTCTCCGTTGACGCTGTTCTCGTCTTCTGCTAACTCTGAATTGGCAGCTGAAAGGCGTAACGCAGAGACTCCTCAGGTCTGCTTCTTTCCGTGATTAGCACATGCCTCAACTGCGATACTAAAATGACATTTAGGACTTCCCAGTGTCTCTGATCAACTCTGTCTGCCAAGTCATTCATTTCCTGGTGTCAGGAGAAATGGCAAACATATAGTTAATTATTATAGCTTATGGCTTATCCAGAACAGCATGGGAGAATGGACGAGAATGCTACTCTTCTCTTCTCTCCGGATCCAACCTTTCATCTGCTGCGATGGGCTGATAATGTAGTCAGAGACATAATAGACCAAGTTCTCACTACATTATGGACTATTGCCTCGTCTGAATAATAAATCACCCCTTAAAGATGGGACACAAATTTCAAAACTTACTAACATCTATTTCCACATGCTGCATAAGAAACCAACTAATCATTTAGTTTGTCTACGAGCCGAGAGGCAAAGCAGACAATACGTGGACAAGTCCTGCATGAGCAACAGCAGGAGTCAAGCTAATCAAGCCTTAACTACAAAATTCCTCACGTACCCTCCTCTTCAAATCCAGAACTTAAAGCCAAAAGTTACTCAAAACTTGCCAGCACGATAGGTAATAGTTTTAAAGGGAGACAAATGGATTAAAGATTAAAAAGAAAAAAAAAGCGATAACTTTGATGCAGAAAAACCAGTGTTAAGATTTATAGTTTTCACAAACAAAGCATCCGGACTTCTTAGCTGTGAGTGTAAGTGACATCAAGGAAAAATGCTAAGGAGGATATACCTAGAATTAGGATAGAACCAAGGAAAGAGTGATCATTGCAGTTAGGTTTTAGCATTCACTGCTACGGTTGTAGAAAATGCAGACCTTCACCCGGACACACCGTATACATACTTCTAATTTGCAGGGAGGATAACAGTATTAAGAACTTTATTAGACTAGCTAATTAACATATGATTTTGCTTACTTCACGAACAATAGTTCATTCTCTCTTTTGAGTCCCACACCAATGGGATGTGGATTTCCTAGGCTTCTTACATGCTCTTGAGCAATTCTCATGAGCTAGCTTTTGGAGTTGAGTTAGGCTCAAGGTCCATTTATCAGCTACAACATTGTATCTTGGTAAAAAAAATGTATAAATTGGAAGGCCGATTGCCAATACTACTACAAAAAAGGATATATATGATGGTAGCTGATTTCAAATTTTCAATATACATGACACTTTAGCAGAAAACCGATTTATGCTTAATGCCTATTGTTAAATTCTGAAAAGGAACAAGAAGTTAAATAATTAAGAAGCAAAGAAGCTTACCCCGTTTCTATTACTGGAGATTGTGTCTTGATATACAACAAAGCGAGATCTAGGACAATTAATTAGGAGATGTTGGAGTCCAGACCTAACAAAACAAGTAAACTTTTAAGTGTTGTGAAAGACTGGGATGAGAAACAAAACGGAATCGGATTTTAGTAACAAAACAGGTTTTTTGTATGAGAGTTGCTTGAAATCAGTGTTTGTGATGGAAATGAACGAGTCAAGGAAAATGTATATATATATATAGGGAAACCGTGTTTATTGACCATTCCCATCTTAATTATAATTAATGATTGTGTAATGTAGCATTCAATGTCTTTAATTATTCATAATAGCCTCATTATGATTTGAGCATAACGTACAATCTCAAAGGTACTATAAAAGGAGATATATGATCAGTTAGT